ACACACACACACACTTTACAGACCTCTTCAAACATTTTATGTTTACCTGCTTCTTTGTAAAGTGATACAACCATTACTCTGTTTAAATGATAAGCAGAGCCACACATAACTGGCTTGTCACCATAGCTCCTTGATATATAAGACGTAGCCTCAAGTTTTCAAATTGGTAAATGATGAAATTGAGAAAATCTCAACATAAAAATCTGTTTGGAAATTGACGCTGTCATTTCCAGACAGACACTTAACAACTTTTTAACAGGTAAATATTACAGAGTTGTTCAAATTAAGATTTTTTTTCTATACTTTGTTACGACAATCAGTGTTCAGTCCTTAAAGAGTGCAAATTAGTGAAGGTCTGGTCAGAATATAGTGTTACTACTACTACTACTACTACTACAACAAAAACATCTAATAATATTTGCACGTTTTACTAAAAACACCTACGAAGCATGTACCAAATTTTGAAAAATGAGGAAAAACTGCAAAGCACAGCGTGACATAAAAGGCATAAACTTCGAAGTGAAACATGAAAACTACATCAAAAATCAGTAAAGTCATCTTAGTTTATCACATTAGCATGCTCACATTTGCTTACTGGCAGCAAGAGCAAAGTCAGGGAATCATTAAAGGTGCTAAAGTTCTAAGAGATGAAGGTCTGTGGCAAAATTCACAGAAATACATAAAAAACACTGGCTGTTATAACACTGACTGATTCAATACCAAACTCATGATGGCGCTAAATGAAAAGTCAGGGGATGGCCAGAGTTAGCTGTTATGATATGAATTGTGAATGGAAACAAAATTTGATGGCAATCAACCCAGTGGTCAGTGGGTCTCAACTTCAGGGGACCTGGAACGGTGAACCTATTGACCTAACCCTGCTGTCAAAAATCTGATCACTGAGTTTTACATTTTGGAACAATCATTGATAAATTGGCTCATACTGTCATGAGTTCTGGCTGTGTGTAATAAAGGAGCCACATATATAAACATACACACTACAACACACAGCTGATTCTAACCAGTTCACACAGATACAGAGTCATGATTTGCCATGTGGTTGTACACTGCTGGCTCAATAAAAAGGGATATTCTACAAAGTCTCCTGTGCATGTACACACAAAAAAACACTCACACACACATGTGTGCACTCAGCTTTGTGTAGGCGTTAAGCACTGTAATGGTGTCTCCAAGGCAAAACAGTGGCCTTGCCGCGCATAAGGAATCAATCAGGATTATTACGCATGTGTGCATGCTTGGCTGTGTTAATGTATTTGAATGCTTGCGCGTATGTGACAAATGTTAGAGAGGAGTGTGTTGCAAAATACACACACACACTCGATACATGCGGATGTGTGAACACTGTGCGTTTGTCGGCCAGTCTGTAGTTCATGGAGCTGAGCACTCGCAGTCCCTGAGGAGGCCATAATGACTCAGGGAGTGGAGAGTGGATGGGTGGTGGCTGTGGAGGTCTGGCTGGCTATGGGACACCACGGGTCGAGCCAAGCCCAGGCTTGGTGTACCCACGGTGGGAACAGCCTGTGGAGTGTATGGACTCTCGGTCTGAGTCGGGTACGGTCCACACCCCTGATAAGACTTCTGATAGCATCATAAGGCTACACTAGTGGCCCAGGGCCATGTGGAGAGAGGTCAGAAGAGTTTCTTACAGACAGATAGCGCTGAAGAGGGAGTCAGAAAGCAAGAGACGAAGAAAGGGAGAAAGACAGACAAAGCCATCTAGGCTCCCTGCCAAGTACCGAGGAAAGGAATGAGAGACAGCAAGTGGGGCAAGCAAGTGAGGCTGATAAGGACTTAAAGGAACTAACCATGGGAGACAGAGAGATGTATAAAATAAGGTCAGAGAAAGACAAAGGCTGTTGGCTCAATAGTCTGTTTTCATTATCTTGTAGCTTTGCATCTTTGCTCAACGGTAGTTTAGATTGTGGAGTTAAGATAAAAAGGCGAAATAGATAAATAAAAACTACATAAAGTGTACTTGATACAGAGTGCGACCACACACAATAGCGGGGACATAATTTGGACAATTTTCCTCTGTTTTTTGAAGAAGTAAAACTCTCATTACCAACCAACAACAGGACAAATAAAGTGGTCCTCTGATCAGTGCCAGGATGTGTAATCGACAAGACAAGCACCATCAGGGATTGTGGGCATGCAGTACGTGTGCTGGGTCGGATCCAGCGTGCCCATTTAAATGCCACCGGGAAGGAAGAAAACCAAACAAAAACAAGTTTCCTCCCCCCTTTCAACACACACAGACGTAAATACATTATCTGGAAAGCACACTGCTGCCTGTAGGCCAGAACTGTATCAGGCTTGTGGATGTGACCATATGAGCTTGTGTTTGTTTTGTGACTGTGTCGTGTACGCGGTCTTCTTGGATTACATACTCATACATTGTACATTTGCTTTGTTTTGGCTGCCTGGGTTAATACAAGTTTGTGAATGAGTTTTTGTGGAGTCATTTTCCCGACATGTACCTTTGGTGACTTCTACATTTCGATAATGGCCAGCCAGGGTGCTGAAGATCTTTCTGATCAGCTCCATGTTGTTGAGCAGTGAGTTGAAGCCGTTGAAGTAGGAGAAGCTGACCTGATGAGATGTGCTGCCCCCTGCAACCTGGGCAAGAAAAAAAATAGAGGGGTAATTTACCACATAATAGAATAACCTACATAAACTCAAACACAGTCATACAGTCGTGTGTGGAATACACAAACAAAAACATTACACGTCAAGGGAAATCTTGACAACACTGGTGGTTAATCAGCAATGTTCCTCTCTACCATTTCTCCACAGGGAGAAGTAAACCTGCTTCAACCACGACTTTTTCCATCACATGATGCACGCTCTCAGGGAGTTTAATTAACTTTCTTTATGAGGTGGAGGAAGTGGTAAAAGAACAGAAAATAGAAAAAAGGTAACAGATTAAAAATAGTTGCTGGGCTCTCAAGGACATTCCAGACTGCCCACAAACTCTTTTATGTGAACCACGATCCCATCTTTATCAAATGAGGCTCTCAAACTCTTGAGAGGAGCAGCTCTAAACGCTGTCTGTTTAGCAAAAAATATGTGCTCAAGTATGTTTCATGAATGTTGTTGCCTGTTTGGGTGGTTTAGGTCAGAGTATCAGATGTGCCTTGAGGCTCTGCTGTCCTTAACAGTACTGAGGGTTGAGTCAGTAGAAAATTTAGAGCTTCCTTTCACTAGATGGCATTGTTTGCTTTACAGACACATACAGAACGGTTGCTTGCTTCTCGCTATGTTTGCAACAAGGGAGGGAAGCTCTGGCTTGGGTGAAACTGCCCTAACAGAGAGACACTTTTGTATCTGTTCATATCTGTGAGCCTATAGCCATGGATCTTCCCACGATATCCAACACAGAGTCTTTCACAGAAGGGGAGAGGAGAACAATATTTGGGTGATAAGAGTGTGGCGCTGATCATTTACCATGTTTGGTGAGTGAATTAAAGGTTGCTGTTTCACTGTTTGTGTTCTGCCATAATACCGCTTTTAATGTGTCTGCAGTGTTTATGAGGTTTTTGATATGTACGTGTGTGTGTGTGTGTGTGTGTGTGTTGTGTGTGAGCGTGTGTGTGTGTGCGTGTGAGAGAGTTTACTAACAGCACACCAAGATGTCTGGTCGGTGAGGTAAACACAGCGGAGAAAATGACAGAGTCTACAAGGTGTTTATGAAATGGGGCAAGGCATGGACACAGACACAAGACGCACACATGCGCAACGAAAACACTAACACACGAAAAGAAAAGACAAGACGCAAAAAAAAAGACAAACATCTCAGGGCTCAAAACAAATAGAGCGCACACGCACAGGCGCGCGCAAACACACAGGCAAAAAGATGATGGACTGTAACGCTCCAGTCTCCATCTATCTCTGTCTCTATCTTCCCATTCAGCTGGCCTGCTTGGCTTTGACACTGCCAGAGAGGTTAGATTTAATGACATGTTGGGAGAGAGACAGAGACACGGGGGAGGGAGGTTGAGAGAAAGAGGAGCGGTTGAGAGAGAGGGAGAGAGAGAAGAAGAAAAAAAAATTAAAGGAGGGAAGAAGAGAGAGGACAGATGAGAGGTAACAGAAGAGGTAAAGAGGAGGAAGAAGAAGGAGATAGACAGCTTGTGGAGGAGAAAGAGAAAGCCGCGACCGCTTGGTTGCGGGAGTGTGAGAAAAACAGGGAAGAAAAGGACAAGAAATAAGTAGTGAGATGGAAGAAAACCATCTCGATTTTACCTCTTTTAAAGCGTGATAGGCTCAACAACTACATCAGTGTGTTGTCTACATAGCACACATGTTGCGGTGTTCCTTATGTGATATTGTGTTTGTTCGGAAAGTAAAAATGTTGTCATGTCATATATGTCATCTTACAACTTACTACTTAACTGCTAGCACAGAAATAATCTACACATACTGCATACTCACCCTTAAAAACACTGCAGCGACAACGTAATATTAAATTATCACCATATTAAGAAAGTCTCATTAATCATCTATGTGCTTGTAAAGAACACCAGATGTGTAGAATCTTTTGTTTCTTTTTTTTCCTAACATATCATGACAAGCATCATATCTCCCAGGTGACAGCAGTGACTCACTATTTTTAACCAGCCTGACTTTGGCTCTTGTGGACGACAGTAAAACAATTAGACGAGAAAACCACAGAGCCAAACAAAAAAAAAAAAAAAACCCACCGCCACGAGGCATTCCTCTACGAAGGGAGTGAGCATGTGCGGCCGGATGGTGATCATGATGTCCCTAAAGTCCAGCGCTGAGATGGAACCACTGTGGGCTTGGTCCCGCTGGATAAAAGCCTGTCGCGCATGTTCCAGCTGCATCTCCTGTGGAGGGGATAGGAGAGAAGACAGGGTAGAATCTAGGTGTTAGTTCATGTTGTAAACGCACATTATCGTACACATATGTGCCTCTTGGAGTTGCCTGTGTGAATTAAAAATACACACATAAACATGTATAAAAACAGAATTTGCTTTGCTGGGCCCTCACAGTTCTGTCTCCCCCCCACCCCTCTCAGTTACAGGGGAGACAGCGTTTAGCCAGTTTTCAGCCTTGTCTCCTCTCCCAGCAGCGGCTCGCCAACTGCGAGGCGTCGCTTGGGCTTTTCACACCCTCCCCAAATCCGCATTAAAACCCACTTGAGGGAGAAACATACAAACACACACAGACACACACGGGGACATGCACACGCAGGCAAGACGACTAATCACCCAACTGCTCACTTAGTCTTTCTTCTTGCGCGCACACACACACATGCACACAAAAGGTCCACAGGGACAACGGCAGGCTGCGGTGGGGACAGATCCCACAAGGCCTTTGAAATTAGCAGCCATTATCGGTACCTGCAACCACAAGTCTACACAGAGGGGCCGTAAACAAACCGCTGCCATCAATGCATCCTCTGGCTTCAACAAGAAACCCAGAAACAGCAAAAGACAGGGATTTCGGGACAATAAAAATCTCACAAAGACAACACTGTGAAATACAGCCCTAAGCTCGAGGACGACAAGATAGAGCTAGTTGGTTTGGCTTTTGACTCACCTACAGTGTATTATGGCATTCAGGTCAAAAAAGGAATGAGGCAAAACAAAACAAAACAAAAAAAAATCCTAAGGCTGATGTATTTTTATGCATGAGGTTTCTGACACATTACCAAAGGCCTAAATGACTCACTTTTAAGTGCATATCAATGTGCTAACCCCACTGGAGCATCCGTGTAACCAAAGAGTTCTCTCTTTTTTTTTAAGAAAGGCTGACAATCACTGGTTCTAACTTCTGATGCATAAAGATTTGCAGTTTTTCTTTTGTTTCTGGATTTCTAGACTTTGAGCTGGACAAAACAAGCAATGTCAGTATGACAACTTGCATGATAAGCGACTCTAATGAGCTATTTTATTGTTTTTTGACATTGTATGGACTAAACAATGAGGTAATTAATTGAGAAAATAAGCACATAAGTAGAGTAAAATTAACTGTTAGTTGCAGATCTACGTATGTGTAAAGGCAGCATCACAGTAAAATATACATTTACTACAAAGACAATCCCATAAATATCTAAGAACAAAGAAAGGACAAGAATGAGTCCAATTGTAGTGCAAATACAGAACTCTGTCATGGAAAGTGTTGTTGAATTTCATTTCTTGAAGTCAGCAGTTGCTCGGAGTTTTAGCACAATACACAAGTTAGTAATTCAGTTCAAAATAAAAGATTATCAATTTGTCCAAGAAGAATGGATTTTTTCAGCCCCACGTTGGACAAAACGTACGGCAGAAGGACAGATTAAATCTTGAACACGCATGCCATTATTCAATTGATTGATTCAGATGTTATTGTTGTAAATGGAACTCTAAAAAAGTGGTATTACCACAACACAAAACCCTATGAGACTATGACTTATTGTTGTGTTGAATTTGAGTGATATTTCACTGACAGCATAACTGATCGAACTCTAAATTCAAGGCGCCCAAGAGAAACGACTGGGGAAGAGTGACATTTACACAAAGCTGAGTGGAGACCGGAGGGGAGTAAGAATAGACATTGCAACAAAAGAGCCAGATTTGCAAAAACAGCAAATGTAGCAGCCATGTGTCAGTATCACCTATGAGCACAGCAGGGGCTCTGGAGAGTGTATAAGTGAGTGGAAAGCAAGGAAATGAAGAGAGATTGACACATGTAAACACTTCCAAAGTAAATAAGGTGAGATATTTTGGTGTCAGCATCCTGAGTGTCGTGACTCACTTCTCTGGTCGGTTGTGAGTAGGTCAAAACACTTTGGTGAGAAATAAACTGGGAAGAGGAAAGGGAGGTGCGCAGCTGAATATCTAAAGTCAAAACAATAAAGGAAAAGTGAAGAAGTTACTTGTTTTGCATGAATATTTTAACACAGGGGTAACATTTATCTGTTTGTTTGTGTCCATCTGTAAGGGATTTTTTTTCTTCTTCTTTGTTGTTTTTTTATCTCATCCGTCTGGACAAGACAAAGGTCACACAGCAACCACACAGAGCAACAAAACAGCTGTGGTCCAGGGGATGGAGGAGTTTATAGTCTCAGCCTCCTAAAACCTTAACTTGTTGCAACTGTATGAGTGTTTCTGGGACATGGTTTTTATTTAGGAGGGGAGTGAGGGAGGCAGGAGACATAAAGCGGAGGGCTTTAGACAGCCAGAGAGAGACTGCTGAGACATTCGCAGTCACTTTAATTGTCCTTGGGCGGTAATAAAAACACATGACAAGCCACCTCTGTTTGTTTTCAATGGCTATGATTCCTTTTCCTTTCCTCTTCAGTGCTTAAACAATAGATATGAGTGGAGCAGGATTGTTTCTCTCTTTTCTAATCCCTGCTTCTCCTCAGCACAGGGCGAAAGTTATTACAAGGAGAAGCAGGAGCACAACTGCCCATTTACATGTGTGCCAGTGATGTTAAGGGCTGCCCACTGATTCTTGGTAGAGTCAAACATATAATTGGGGCTTTTAAAATGTGAGTAACGCCAACAATTCACTTTTTTGAGTGCTTAGGAAAGGAGTGGGACATGTGGTGTCCCCTCCACGTAATTCAACTCCTTTACTTGCCAGAATTCATAATATGAGCTACTATGTGCCACTATGTGCCACTTCTCTGGACATCGGTAATACCATTGCCAGAGACAACAGTACGCTGACAGTGCGAGCTGAGCCTTGGCCGGCGTCCACGCGTGAGACGGGAAAAATGCATGTAATTGGTGAGAATCTCTGGCTTCCATCAAGACAGTAATTGGCCAGAGAGAGCCCTTGTGAGAAATATGCGGCGCAAACGTTTTCCCCGATAATCCCATCTTGTGAGCATCTGGCAGTGGCGTGGTTACAATGGCAGAAAAACACAATAAACACATGCATGTATGGCAGGAAGAGGAGGAAATAAAGGATGGGAACATTTTAAGGGGGAAAGGCTGGGTGTTAGGGAACTATATAAATAACTAAAAAATAGTCACAATATGATGTGAAGGTTGGTGCTCACAACTCTGAGAACTTTTGCACTGTGCACTTTTTGTACCTTATTGTTTGTCTGTTAATAAAGGCTTTATGACATTGGTGGGTAGTGGCGTTACACAAAATATGTAATAATTGCACGGGTTTAAACTCTGCTTTGGGAAATGTTCCTTTTCTAACTGCAATACATTCATTAAAATAATTGTGTTCTATTATTACAGTGCAATCTCTTTCTTCTTTTTTTTTTTATTGCATATCTATCTTAATGTTTCTTTTATTGATGCTGCTAATTCCAACATATCAATGGCAATAAAGATCTGTTCTACTCTATTCTAGGTCATCACTCACTGGAGCAGCTGCTGACACATTATAGGAATGAAATTTTACTGGTATCGTAATAAGACAACAGCAAGCAACAGAAGTCGCAGTACAACAATGAACATTAATGTGACATGTTACCTCTAAGTTCAAATATTTTTTAATGGAATTTTACAAATATCAGCAGACCAGCAGAACACTTACCTACGCAGCGAAGCATCCTGCAATAACATGAAATTCACTTTCTTCTGTCGATTTATTCAGACATTTATCAAAAGCTATGAAAAATGATCAAATACAGACAGCATAAGCAGGAAATGTGCATTTCATAGTTGAGCAATGAGTGCGGCTGGCTGCTAGCCTGCTGCTGTGAGGAGCTGGAAACCACTGAGTGACTGACTGGGAGAGAACCGGGCATGCTGTCAACGCAAAGTACAGCATCTACTGGCCACAACGCCACACAGCTGCACTCCTGCTCACACAGGCAAAAACAAGCATACACAAATACACAAACACTGACACAAACACAGACGCACAATGCTTGCGTGCTGCTGCTGCAACGCACACGATAAAGCTAACAAGCACACACGTACGAGTAACCACGCATATGTAGAGACACCTATAGGCGCATGTAACAATGTCCCAATGCCCATGTCCTGTGCTGCCCACTGTGTGTAAGCCATCTGGTCTAAGTTAAGTGTAATATAAAAAGCTCATTCAGATACATGGTGAGTGTGGATGCAAACTTGGCACAGCTCAGGCCCTCTCTCCCACCCACTCCACCACCTCTCCCTGCTTAGGCCTGATTTAAGTCTAGACATCATATTGGAAAATGGCTCACACGCCACAAATACACTAGGAATATTCCAACTATACTATTTATGGAGGTAGAAATGTGTCTCTACCTGCTTCGGAATAGGTGGAATGGAGTAATGCTAGATGTACGTCAGCTAATGGAAAACAAATGCAGAAAATGTCCCAAATACATAACCTCAGTGTTTCATTAATGACTAATCTGGACAATATGGAGGGCTGTGTTTGAGAGGGATAGGAGCAGCAAAAATGTGTGTGCGCCTGCGAGTGTGCATTAGTCAGATGAAACTTAGAGGAATATCTAAGAATACAGTTACACGATGGCAGGATTGTATGAACAGCCTATATGGAAAAGGTGAGGATAAGGCAAAAGTGTAAAGATGTATAAATCAGTTAATGGAGATTTATTGACTATGACTGATGGTCGCTTTATAATGGAAATGAGACAGTTAGTTAGACAAACCTACAAAAAAAGGGCCAAAGGCAGAAAGACAAAGAGGGACAACATAATAAAGAATGTGATTTAACACCAGCCGAGGAAAATACGAGAGACAAAGAGAGCACGCAGTCACCCTGAAACCTACCAGGAGAAACTGAGTGAATTCGCCGTAGCTGAGCTGCTTGTCCCTCTGTGTGCCAAAGTGCAGCCGGATGAACTCGCAGTCCCAGTTGAAGGGGATGTGCTGGTGGATGGTGGTCTGGCTGAAGACCTGCTTCACATCCTCTGCAGAGGAGACAAAGAAAGAGGCAATCTGCTGCTTCAGTAATGACTGAAAAATAGCATCATTCCTATTTACTCTATTAACAAGATGCAACAACTTACAACAGCAATGCTTTAGTATAATTTGTGGAGCATTTTGATCTTTCACTGAAGAAAAAGTTACGTTCATTTCAAGTAAAAGTCCTGCATTAAAACCTTATTTAAGCAGCAGCGCAGAAGTATTATCAGCTGTGTATAACCTGTGACTGCTATATGCCATATTATTGTATAAATAGCATCTTACTGTTGTAGCTGCTTAAGCCAAAGTTAATTAAATGACATACTGCTAAGTAAAATAAACCAACAATTAGTCCTATCTGCCAAACATATCATGTATTTTGTTGGGGAAATCTATAGCTTTCTACTATAGCTACTGTATAAATGTATAAGTAACATGTACAATACAGTGTTCCTCTGATACGTAACTTAATGAAATAACATAATATGGACACACTTAAGTAAATTACAGGTACCTTGGAATTTTACTTAAGAACACACCTACAGCGAGTGTTCTTTGCTAGATTCCACAACTGATTTCCTGTGTTGACATATGTAAAATATATACTATTTAAACAGAAATCAGCAAGCAATGAGGCTAAAGCAAAACACTTCTACTTCAAATCCTTAAAAATGACAGAATAACAGCTCTGTTTAGGTTTTACAGATTACACCTCCCTTTTAAGGCTAATGGCCACACATTAACCACGGACGAGGCCTTCACCTCCATTAAAAACCTCCCCATGGTTCTGTATGTTAATGTTTTCATAACAAACAATTATAAAATACTTCTTCCTGCTTAAGTTTTCAGTTTGCTCTAATTAAAACCTAAAATCTGTTGGTACAAAGTCTTGTGAGTCAAGCCTTAACAAATAGCATGTGTTTCCTGTCTTGTGGTTAACATTAGTAATTATTTGATTTGGGGGGGGGGGAGAGAAACGTCTACGATTGTTTCCGACAAAATGTCAACGTCAATCTGCAGAACGCGATTCTGCTCTGATTGAGACTTAAGTTGGTCTAAATCAGTCTTGAATGACACATGGCAGAACTTGTTTGAGCTGTGCAGGCTCTGTATTGAGAAGGAAAGCCTTTTCTTCTCACTTATGTTCCTCTGCCTGAACCCTCTAAGCCTCTACAGCCAGTGGAGTGGAGAGACACTGAACATGAGTCCTAAATTACAGCCTTACTAAAGAAACAAAAACAAACCAATAGAGCGACCTGTTTCTTATTACCAAACAGGCTGCGCTGAAGGAGTGGAGAAAGGAAAGGAGGAAAGAAACTATTTTTTTTTTACAGACAGGGAGGGAAATAGAGAGGGAGAGAGAAAAAGGTGATATTTACTTCAGCTCATTCTTACCTTCGAAAGGAAGACAGCTTGTGTGTTGTTGTTGTTGTTGTTGTTGTTTTTTGTACACTTTAATGAGGCAATAAATATACAGCCTTTAATTCTTTAAAGGAGCGGCTGCTCCAGAGTGTACCATTTATATTATCAGCTTTTATAGACCTGTCAACACTCAGTCCTCTTTAAGTTTTTTTCTTTTTTTTGTCTTTCTGGCTGAGCTTCAACTGTATTTCTATGTTACATTGCGATTTTTATGAACTCAACATTCCAGCAAATTATGCATTTATTTTTTACGTGCTAAAAATTCAGAGCACTGTGCCGCCTGTACTTAACACAAACTACTCGGGTTATTATCAAATAAAAATGGCTTTACAGAAAAATGAAATAAAAAGAAATCAGAGTACAGACATTTACTGCATGAAAAAACAAACACAGCTTTAATACATAGAAAGTTGCAGCTATTAATGTTTTTAATAGGTAATAAAGAAGGGAGTTCTTAATTCTGCGCCTTGGTGAGGCTGTTTAATCACATGAAAGGCAAAGTAAAAGGCAGAACAGGAGAAAAAGGGGAGAATTCTGTAAGGTATCACAATAAAGCAACTTTGACAAGTCTATAATCTCTGTCAGAAGTTATTTGCTTTTGGTGAAATAATACCCTGATGCAAGTGGCATGCGCTGCAGTCAGTGTCTGTGCATTGCATGATGTGTGTTATGTTTTTCATACAATTTTCCACTTGTAAGCAAGTCTCATAACTCACAGGCATTGGGATATTCATTAACCTTTAGGAGACGCAGAAAAACAGCAGACCTTTTAATTGCCACCAAGACAACGTCACTCTAATTGATCCTTTTAAATATGAAAATTTACATATGTGCATATATAATCACCCGCAATGATCTTGCACCCTGTCGACAGCAACAATTAAAATGAAATTCACTTACTCTTCCCTGTTTGCGAGCGGTATGTGTGCACTGCATTTCAAATCAAGCCTAATGTGCTAACGCCTCGTACACCTACAGAAGGCTGGCATTAGACTTGTTTAAATCAATTAGGCAAATGTGAAATGAGCAACGAGTACAAATGTCTTCCCATTTCACCTCAGAGCTTCCAGGCATCAGAGTAATGGTGCCAATCATGCACACACACATGGCCACCCACCCCCTCCTCCATCTTCATCTGCATCTTTTAGCCGCCAACAACCCTCTCCACCTCCAAACCTAACCTTATCTCTACAGATAAGATACAGGACCACGTACAGTATTTTTGTTTGTGGATGCAACCACAACAGAATAGATGAGCTGAGGTCAGACCCCCACATAAACAAAAGAGGACTTTACGAAAACTTCTCGAGGGGCACATTTAAGAGGAACATTCTCAGCACTCTGTCTGAATACATCTTTGTTAAATGTCAATTGCAAACAAACAGGTGCAGTGTTCAGAGTTGAACTTTTATTTCAGTTTACATAACAACATTAGAAGTACAAATCATTAGACAAATTGTCACTTCTGTTAAGACTGCATCCTGATTATTGTTTGTTAGCTGGTATCATCACTACAGGCAACCAGCCCACGAGAAGAGAAACTGAATATTAGAAATGACATAAAGGTTTTCTCTTCCACGTGAATTTAGTCTCTAGATCTGTTTTTTTTGTAAAGTAAGAGCGTGAATATCAACACAATGATTTCTCTGATAATTTACAAAGATGAAAGGTTGGATGATGTTGTATTCCTAATCTTTAAAACAAAGATAAATAAAGACAAAAAAATATGCCTGCAATATAGTACACAGGATAGATGGTGAAGCTCACAGTAAAGAGTGGAGGACAAGACATAATAATTACACATAATAGCAATATTTTAGAAGAAATTTGTTCCTGTAACAAAAGTAAGCATGAGTTACTGAGTACTGTATTATTACATTATTCTAGATTTCCTTGAAAGCACATTACAGTCTCTACCACATGCATGCTAATGGTTCAGTAAGACACTAGGTACATCTGAGCAAACTTGACTACAGCATAATTGAATCTAAACCTACAAATCACAGGCAGAGTTACTTACCAAAAGTGGTCACTCCATTGCCTGCTTTATCAAACAGCAGGAAGGCAACCATGAAGAGGGAGTCTGGTGCGCACAGCACCGACTCGAATGCTACAAACTCCTGATAGGAGATCAAGCTGGAGGACATAAAGACAGAGAGAAAGAGGAGAGGACTGTAAAAGACAGTTAAATGCTGTCATTTGAGCTGTGGTTCTTGTGTTTCAGGGTCCTTGCATAAATACTGCATCATCTACACATGTGATCATCGAGTCTTTGATATTCAATTAGCCATGTAATACATAATAAAGACTTAAGCCTAAATTACACTGCTGAAATGAAATATCAAATTAAAAAAACAAGTTATTTTAACACTGCATTAAACTACAGACTCTATTGTAATTACTGCCACACAGTGGCAAACCGGCACACTTAGACAACCTATCAATCCACGCTACACGTAATTCAAGCGGCCTTTTATCCAGTAGTCTGTTATTCCATATGTAATGTCATAAACTCATCGAGTGTGACAGCAAGAAAATAAAACATTTTAAAAAGCTCAGTGTGTGTTCCCAGTCTGAGCTGGCAGCTAGTATAGAGAGGGCCAACTTTACACCACACAAAAAAAAGCTCAAATATGAAGTTTCATATTTTAGTGTGCCATTTTAAACAAGCAGACAGGCATGAAGGGGGCTGAGAGCCAGTTAAGGAAACATAATTCAATTCAATATAAATGTAAGCAATATGAGGTTAGTATGTGACAGTCAAGAGAAGCCAAGATGGAAAACTATTTAAAATGTTGAACTTGATTTGTTTGCCACAACAGTCAAATGCAAATGTTGTGCTGAAAGTAAACACAAAAGTTTAGTTTTCTCATTATACCATTTGCTCACTTTGTCAGTGTTTTGTTAGATGCTATTGTATCTCCAAATTCTTTATAGTAACACAAATGCCCGCATGCATCAGCAACAACAAAAAAATAAACATAAACATCGCCGCTGTGCGAGCTCACTGAGAGCCCCCTCGGGAGAGTCCCGCTGTGGGGAACTGGACCACGCAGTCTAGCCTTTATTTAGGCCTTGGTTCACAGTTGCCATAAGTCCATTATGAATTTCACAAATGGATCTGATAATTACAGGAGGGGTCAGTGCTAATGAGTGGTCCCCGAGCATCCATCTATTAAACCTATTTCAATTTCCATGGGGGAATGTGCAGAGGAGGGGGGTTGCGATGATTACAATTTTCCTGGTTGCTATAATTAATTATGTTACTGATGAAATTTAGAGGTGTTTGTTTGGCCTCGGAGTGTTTCAGGTTTGCATGTGGGTGCTTTATGTGCATCCTTACATGTGTCCATAAAGTTTATATCCAGAAAAACGCTGTATATAATTATAAACAAGCTGAAGGAGAAAAGCAAAGAGCTATGCACTGACAAGTACAGATGATCCAAATAATATCAGGAAAAAGCGCATATTCTTGAACATGAATTCCAAAGATACTTCAGAAAGCAGCACTCAGATCACTGCCTTTCAAGTCTTTAGAATATAGTCTATAAAAATGCTACTCCTCCCTTTGAACTTTCATGAAAAACCCAAGAAGACACAGCAGTAAATACAAAGGGCTTAAACTAATACCTGCTTTCAATAAATACTGAGAAATACATACTATAGCATCATTACGATTCTATGAAAGTGCTGAAGTGTGTGTGTTGGAATGAGAGCTACACAGGAACAAAGAGAAATATGGAGAGGGAATAAAAGTGAGCATACAGTTCTCCTCAGTGGCAAATGAAATCAGCTGTCGTTGTTTCAAAGGCAAGACTAATTGTTTTATTAACTAAGCAGGTAGTTCTTAAGAGCAGGGCCCTGCTGATGGCAAGTAGGTGGAAGGGGGCACAAAAGCACACTGCTGCGACCGTGGATCCACTGTTAAAAACAAAGCCAATACCATCGCCGCTCACACTGCTGGAATATTATCAAACTCTCCAACAATGATCATTCCTTTGTGACACATGTATAGTACACTCTGAAATTATACCTCAGAGAGGTTAATAAAGGAGTTTAAGCAGGTACAAGCTGCAGCGCAAAGACTAACAGAGCACTCGTGTTCCCAGACAGAACCAAGGGAAAATGTCATATTTCTTTCTTTCTTTCTTTTTTTTTTTTCACAAGCATCAATTTACATGCACGCTGGTCGTCCTGTCTGTGTTTTCCCAGACATGGATAATCAGCATATTAGTGTAACTGAGAGGGCTGTTGATCACGAAGGGATTGGGCCATGGTTTAGACCAGGGAGTCCAGACAAGATCCAGGGGGCATCTCCATAACACACACGAGAAACATTCCACATACTCGCAAGCATTTGCACACAACTCCGTAGCCGGGGATGAAGCTTATGATGGTTGATTAGCAGCGCCATGACGGCTGCAAAATGATTACCATGAGAGGGGGGAAGCCATCGTCTTTTGCTATGCAGGCGCAGCCCCAACGAGACACTCAATAATCAAATCAACCGACAGCATCTCCCAACCATCAACTGCTATGGCATGTGTCCAGGGCTGCCCTATCCGTGTACGCAGCCTGGGATGAACTTCGGAGACGAGGCTAATGTGATACTGTACCACTGCATGTCTTTGTTTTACTCTGTGCTAACTTTGCTCGGCGGGATTTGTTAAATCTTTAAACAGGAATATACATATCCATGACATGTGCCAGACAAGAGATGTGACACGCAAGACATAAACAAAGCCGTGCATGTGTTTCTATGGATGACAGCTGAATGACACTTTTGTTATGATGCCAATACAATGCCATTTACACCGTCTCTGATACGTCTGTCTGACATAAAAACTCTACATTCCATATATTTTTTGTTTGTTTTTATCTCATCTTCATCACCCAGCTTTTATCTCTGTCTCCTCTCAGCAGGTATCTAAACACACGCTTCTGAACCAAAAACCAGGCTTGGAAACATTGTTTACAAGTAACATAAATGCATGGTGTTGGTTTGGCCCATTTGATAGAAAGACAGCTCTCCTTCGTTGATAGTAGTGGGAGAGAGGGGCCTAGAGGGGCTTCAATAATCCCCTGTCCCTGGCATCTTGGCATTGTTACTGACAGCCTTCCACCCACCCAGAGCGTAGTTGCACACAGACATACACACACAGACACACCCCACAACCACACATACACACACCCAGGTGAGCGCTAGCTGCCAGTATCTGTTCGGTTTCTAGGAGTGGACACCCACCAGTCCTAGTCCAGAATGCCCACAGCAGCTGGCACACTGCTATTTTCCCAGCACGCTCCCTTAACAAAGTTTTTTTTTTTTTTTTTTTTTTCCCTTTTTTCAAACCTCCAAGAGTCTATGGGGGAAGTGGGGTTTTTTCACACTTGAACAGATGCTTCTATCAAAATATCAGAGGGAAGAAGAAATACAGAGCGAGGAAAGGTAGGGAGCCGGAAAAAGCCACATGAAAAGGAGGAAGCTCAGAGTGCATTATAGTGGGCGACTGTGAGTGTAAAGAAAGTTAGGATCAGAGAAGGAGGAATGCAAAGAAAGTCAAACATGAAAAAAAAAAAAAAAAAACGACATAAATAAGTCGACTGAGAGGGGAAAATCTTTAAACCATCTCGTAGTTCTGTATGTCAGCGAACAAATACACAAAATGTTTGATCCCTGGAAATTGAGGCATCTCCACCCTCCAAAACCTTGTCTCTCTTTCGCTCCATCTTGATCTATCTATCTGTCTCTCTGTCTCACTGGGAGCAGCGAGAATAAGAGGGAGAAAAGTGATTTCCACATAACAGATTGTTAGGACTGTCACTATATCCCCTGATTTACACAGTCGCAGAGGGGGAGGCAGACAAATGCATTTTCACTGTTTACATCACCCCCCACACACACACACATCGAGCCGCTCGCATACACACTCAAACACACACTGGCGTCTAAGTAAAATTTCTCTCACACAGATAGACTCCAACACAAAAGTAAGCGAGCATGCTGCCTGCCATCCGACCCCCTGCTAAATCTATTACCCCAGACTCATCTTGCTGAAATGGAGTCCTACCTGGCAAAAACAGCAGCAGGCGCACTAGCTTCAAATATACTGCCCTCATATACCAGGCAAAATGTATCGTTCACAAACATATTTGCATGAGATCAGGCAAGCTGCATGGAAATACAGGCGCTAAAGTGGTTTGTTTTGTCTTGCTCCTTGTTCTTTTCATAAAGGTGTTCACGGCTGAGCGCTTGATAAACAATGCAGCTGACGGGGCTGATGTTGCCACATCTCCTCTTTCTATATGCATTTGTTTTGTGTTTCGTGAGGCACAGGTCTGCAGAATAATCATCTCAACTCTTTGTCACATCAAATCACTTATCTATCAAAGTTCAGGAGGAGAATAACACATCACACAGTATGAGCATCATACGGCCTTTTCAGTGTCAACTGTGAAAAAAAAAAAGAATCCCATCTAAACTAAGGTGTAAATATTATTTGGGAGAATAGAGATAAAAAAAAAAAAAACGACTTTTTTTTCCCCTGTTTTGCCCCCATATCATTTCCATTCCCCTCCACAAAACCCAAAATGAGGTTTAGATACAAAGCCTGGGCCATGGGTTCCTAATAGATTTACCCTGATGCCATGGCCACCATTTATCCTGCTCCAAAGCCGCACAATGCAACGGAGTGCTCCTGAATAGCACGGGCAATTACAGTGCATGTGTGTGTTTTTTTTATGGGTGTGTGTGTGTGTGTGTGTG